CCTCTCTCATCTTTTTAAGTGGGAGAACTTGCACAATTGGTGGCTGACTAAATACTTTTTTGCCCCACTGTATTAACACGTTATTTACTTATTTGTTTAGCTAAAGCATTTCTAGCCAGTTCTTTAGCTAAAAAGACTCTTAAACAGCTTATATATGACAGCAAGACAGTCTCAGCTTTCAGACTTACAGTCTAAAACATGTGGAAAAGGAGAAAAGGGGAAATCAAAACAGAAGCATGTCTCTAAAGCAGGAATTTACATGTAATTAATTACTGTGATAGGAATATTGTATAGTAGTGGTTAATGGCACTGGGTTAGAAAAGGGAGACCGGGAGTTCTAGTCCCGCCTTAGTCACGAAGCCAGCTGGGTGACCTTGGGCCAGTCCCTCTCTCTCAGCTCTAGGAGGGAAGCAGTGGCAAACCACTTCTGAAATCTTGCCAAGAGAACTGCCGGACTTTCTCACTTGAGTGAGAAATTGTTGAACTCCCATCCATCAAAAGGTTTCAGGCAATCCCAAAGGGTCTCAACAAACACAATGGATTTTTAACTGTTACAATGGTTAATTACTGTACTTGTAATCTGTCTCACGTGTAAATAAACCAACTTATTTTCCCCTGCCTTTCCCCTCTATCCCAATGTAAATCCTACATCAGTCTAGCCACTCTGCATCTGATGAAGTGAGCTGCAGCTCATGAAAGCTTATGCTTTTTAATTAAATTTTGTTAGGCAGAAAAAGTGCTATCAGACTCCTGATTTTCCCCTGTCTAGTTGATAAAGAATCTATCCTTATTTAACAGATCATTGAGAGTTAAATATTAAGACTTTATGTTAAGAGAAACCCAAATTTTGGATGTGGGTACAAGCTCATGAATGAAACTATAATCCAAAATGCTTTGAGTTTTGCTTTTCAAATGAGAAGTTATTTGAGACATATTACTGCAATATTCTTGCAGTAATTACCATATACAAGGCTAATTCAATATACCTTGTGGGGATGTAAGGTTTAGTAATATTTAATAAAAACATGACAGGGTGAAAAGGAAATTCAACTTTTAGAATTTGTGGCATTGTGTTATAAATAATTTTCCAACATTTTTAAGCTTTACAGCATTGCCACAAAATACAGAATGATTCAACTTGATTTTAACATTTCCACCAAGTTTCAGAAAATGAACTGTCAATTTTAGTAATCAATATATACCATCAGCAAAACATCTTATACCAGTTTTCTCTAAATATCTAAATTTAATATCTAATTTAGTTCATCTAAATT